AAGAGATGGAACGAACAGTTACAGAGTTTCCCGGCCAGTGGTGTAGCCCTTGTGACCCCCGTTATCGAATTCTATGACGAATCCTGCGACCAATTCCGAAAACGTATTCGAAGGGATTCGATGGTAATGCCTCGTCGACCCTCTGTCGGAATTTCTTTGTTTTTTGTTTGTTTGTTTCTTTTTTTTTTTTTTTTTTTTTTTAGTGCACCCTTTGTCCTACGTTCAAGGAGTGCACGGCTTACGAGTGTATCGAGCGTTATTATCGTTTACTGCACGGCGTCGTGTCCTCCGACGTGAACGAAAATGCTCTTCAAACGGCGTCAGAGAAATTCTGGCTACGCCACTGGGGGGAGGGGGGGGGGCCTTCCATTGCTAAAAAGAGCGAGAGAAAATGGGGTGGCCAAGGATGGAAGCTAGTACACTGATGAGAGAGCAAGATGAGATGAAACGAAGAGTGGGGAGAGGGGGGTGGGTGGGGTGGCGGGAGGCTGGCGGGTGGATGGAAGAAACGACAGGGCGAGAGGGAGGAACCGCGAGGGTTAAGCGGAGAAGGGGGTGAAGGGGTTAGTTGCTGCTTGGTACTCGGCGGGGCGGAGGGGGTGGGAGAGGGCCGGAGGGAAGGGAAATAGATCGGATTGCGTGGTCGACACGAGGGTTGGTATGAGTGCGACGGGATAAAAGAGGGAGCAAAAGTGAGAGAGCGGGCGACAGAGATGTTGGGTGGTTTGCAGCGTGAGAGAGAAAGAGCGAGAGAGGGTTGGCAAGGACGTGGATTGGTCGGAGGGAAAGAGAAAGTCGAGGTAAGACGTGGGATACGACACGGTTTGACAGGTGACAACCGATCGGACCACTGACGTCACAGATCACTCGCTCGACCGTTCGCTCGCACGCACAAACACGATTTATAACCGTACACGTACGCACACACACACACGCACACAACCGACCGTACGTTCTTGACGGTGCACGCGCGCGCGCTCGTGAGACGTGCCCGTGTATCACGCCGTTATTCGCGTTCCGTGCACAGGCTACGTCGTACGTAGCTTTTCACGTCGCGAGGGAACAAATAAAAAATGTTGCACCGCACGAGATGGTGAGACGGAGTGAAAGAGCACGGGGATAAGAGAGACGGAGAGTCGTGACAGAAGAAAAAAAAAAAGGTACGAAGAAATGTTCATAGGACGATGCGATAAAGAGGTCCAGGGTGAAACGGAAAGGGAGAAAAAGAACGAGAGTGGGAGAGACGAGAAATTTTTCGACGGAAGTAAGTAGTAACGTGTTATACGATGCTAACCGGCTGATAGCCCCGCGCGACGCCTCTATCTGGTTACCATTACACTCGGATGTATGAAATGCGCCAGCAGCATACACCATCCCCCCACAATAGCCCTATTTATGATTGGGCAAAATTGCTTTCCATGCGCAGAATAAAATCGCGCGCGGCCGAGGAAAAATCCGCGGGGGTTGGATGCACGCGAGTATCGCGACCTGCGCCCCGTCGCTTCTCGCACGATATTTTCCAGACAACGTGATCGACGACATTCTGTGCTCGCGTACGAATTACGCGAATCAATCGTCGGCTCGCGAACGATCTTTGTTCGTGTGATTTTCTTTACGTTAAGCGCTCGCAAAATTTGGGGAAAAATTAAATATGGCGAGGGTCCGCGGTCATGCGCAGACGCCGCTATCAAACTCAGTGCCGTGACTAGCAATTCTGGAGCTCGCGTGAATCGAATATACGGTGAATCCATGTTAGAGGGAAATTAACTTTTTCGATACTATTCTTTTTTCGTATAAAGGAAATGTTTGTAGCCTCGAGCCACTCGGGGTTCGATAAATGTAGCTGAATTCGAAAGTTTCGGTATTTTGGGGAATTTGAATGATTATAAATCTATTTATTGACAATGTATAATTTAATATTATGTCCACTACTTATTTATATACCATAGATATTGTTACGAGCACCAGATCTATCAAATCATGGCCAACTGCGTAACATTGAAGATGAAGAAGACTGTCGGTCGTTACCGACGATATTGACGTTACGTTTATTGCAAATAAATCGCAATCTGACCTTATAGATTGTAGTGTTATACAACAAAGAATTGCATTAATTATACATTTATGAAAAATAAAGAATAATTCATTGAAAGATATCAGTGGCGCTATCTTACTGTAAAGGTAATTTACATAATAATAATAAGACATAATGAGAAAGTTGTTATGCAAATAATTTACACTATTTATATAAATAATAAGTCGATAAAAATTAATACTAAATGGTTGTACCCAGAAATGTTGTGAAAATAGTTCCTACCATTTCTGTCAGATGGCGTTACTGATACAATAGTTTTTGCTTTATACCACTACAATATATTAGTTAATATGTCAAATGTATCATTTTTATAAATAATTATTCAATGCTGTCATAAGTATCGACTCGGTTAGTGGCGTCATCGGTGGGAAAACGCCCAAGTTTGTAGTGAAAATAGTTCCAACCTTTACAGTAAGATAGCGCCACTGATATGTTTTAATTAATTATTCTTTATTTTTCATATATGTATAATTAGTACGATTCTTTGTTTTATAACACTACAATCTATAAGTTTAGATTCCGAGCCTAGTCCCAGTTTTGAATTACCATTGCACTATCACGCGGATAATGCTACGTTTAGTTCACTGTGGCATAGAGTGTACTATTTTGACTGTTTACATTTAGCAATTACGTTCGTTCACCTTTAGTTGTGTGTGTTAACATATCTAATAAATGTATACCCACTTACTGTTATCGGTGTTTAAACTGACCGATAACGTCAAGACGATGTTAAGAAAATTTCAATACTAACTGCAATTCATCGAACTCTTAGTTCGTGTTCATCGTAAAAGTGATTAGCTAATAGTCACTAATAGTTATACATTTTATTTTTGTACAATTTGTAAAGCAATATGGATAAGGTAATTATATGTATTTTTAACAATTCGGCTTTGTTCATGTAAAGATCACAGAACTGCTGATACACAACAAATATTTGTCGACCTACTTCTTGTCAATAATTTTTTATCAGATTATTACAGAATACGTTGCATTTAAAATATAAAACATTAAAAAATGATTTTTACCGAAGATTTTTAATCGTGGCAATGACAGTTTGTGTAAATCACGTTAAGATTTTATATTTATTTCATTTTATTCAAATAAACGGGCAAAGTACATTTTTTTTACTTGTCAACAATTGATGGTCAATTGTATTTTTTATTTTGAAAATAGGTTATACAAGATTAAAATAAATAACATTTGATTCTGTTTTGAATGCAGTTTATTTTATAGTTTTTTTATTCTATTCAATTTTACGTAGTTAATATCTTCATTGAAGGACTATTTCTTTTATTTAACAGAATAAAAGAGAAATTCCAAAGGTTATAAAGGATCTATTAGTTTTTGACATTAAATTTTCACATAATTTGGTAACACAAGCGGAAAAGTTCAATTTTATGAAGCAATTGAGAGTGCATTACACAGTATTGGAGGTATGTTTAAAAATATAATTATTATTAATTAACAAATGGTTTAATTTTGAAATTAATTTAAAAAATCAACTATGATAGTAGTATTATTTGTAAATTGTTTCTTACACATTGTGCATAGTTGCTTCTACAGTACTCTGAGTTTAATGACTTTTTATTACATTATTTTTCTTTTTTTTTGTAGATATCATGTCATGGCATTCCATGGATCGCATCAATACTTGCACTTATTTGGATTCTAGACAATAAAAGCTTGTATCAAGTACAAGTCAATTTGTTGATAGGTAAGTTATATCCTTTAATTGAATGTATAATAATTAGGGTGTAATGCCAGTAATATTAAAGTTACAATATTTTATGAAGCCAGTTTTCATAGGAATATTTTATTATACTTTCAGGCCTGCTATTGGACATTATCGTCATTGCTTTGTTGAAATCAGTTACACGACGAAGACGACCTTCAGTGTCTCCTGTTCCTTTTGCAGTAGGGCCTGACAAATATTCATTTCCATCGGGTCATGCTTCACGGGCAATGTTAGTGTTCTATTTCTTTAAATATTTGTGGCCGGTATCTGTACTTTTTCTCACTCCTATATTAGCATGGGTTGTTGCCGTAAGTTTGTCTCGGCTTTTAATGAGAAGACATCATGTTCTTGATATTATTGTAGGATTATTTGTAGGTTATGCAGAAGGACTATTTATGAGTTTGATGTATTTAGAGCCAGAAACTTGTTATAATTTAGTATATTGGTTAACTGATGAAAAGCTAAGTGGTGCAGAATATGATATTTAGGTGTTAGTTATGGACATTTAATGTTTGTTTCTTTAAATTTGGACTTGACTTTAAATCATCTGCAACAAACAATAATAAAAAGGTGATATTTTAGTTTATCATCAGCAAAGTAAATTATTCGTGTTAACTATATTACTTTTAAAGAGTAATGAATTATTTAGTATAACTCTATATGGACCATCTATAAAGTAGACTTTGATAATATTTTTTTACAAGTATAAAAAGTATGTAGTTACATCAAAGATAGTATTTAATTCTATATTACTAGTATAACTCATTAATAAAGATTATCCAGCTACTTTAGAGGCAAGTATGTGTTGCAATTGATTTAAAGTTTTATATAAATTTCCATCTGTTGACGTTTTCTAGAAACAGAAATAAACGGAATTTTATTTGAATGGTAGATGACGAATAAATACTCTATGTAGTAATTTATTTGCAACATTTATTTAATTAAAATAAATGGATAGGTGTTTAAGGATCGAAAAAATATCCGAAAAATTATATCCGATAACTCGTAAATCATGGTGTCAAATAATTTACAATATTTTGTACTTTACTCATTTATTCTTTTGTCACATAATATAATTCTTTTGATAATGATGATTCCACTTTTATATGTACTTAGATAGCATTCCGCCATCTTGAATTCATAGATTTCTACGAATTTGATAATAGAAGGTACAAAATTTTAAGGCGTGACTGATAAATATGTTTTGTACGAAAACTTTTCTTTGGTCTAATGAGGTATCGAACGCGACAAGATTAGAACTGAATAATAATAAATCTACTTGGAGTTGACTATCATAAAAAGAAGGCATAAGTTCATTTATATAATGAACTTATATATGATTACATTTGCGGTACATGAAAAACGTCTTGTACATTTCGAATATTGTATAAAATTACAAGCCAGTTTACATATGATTCCTACACGATTAACGTCAGTCGTGTACTACGATTTAAATTTATTCTTTTATGAAAAATTACTAGTGATTTCAACGTTACAACTAATCTGATTAATTGAAATACATCCATTAGATATTTATATTAGTATAAATACTTTCCATATAACTATGCTCAAAATAAGTATAATTAAAGCTTTAGAAATTACTATAATTAAATCATTATTTAAAATGGTACAAAAAATAATATGGTAAATTAAATGAAAGATAACTTCTAAATTTTAATCACTGTGACCTGATATTAAATAGTTTCTATATCTGATTTCACATTTCCTAACTTTGAATACAGTCTCACAATATATAACAAAATCGTAATGTAGGGAAGAACTATTTTTGTCAATGGATATACACATTTGTTTTTATCTGTTAAAATAAATTGCATTGCGACAAACCTTTCAATTTTTTCCATTTTTTTTTCCATGAAACTTATTATAATTATCGTAAGTATTTTATTACGGGAAGTGAACTTTTACGATTTCGTCAAATATGCAAGCAGTAAAATTTATCAACACAATGTCTTCAAGGCAGTTAATAAATTAAAAATAATTCTACCCAGGGAAATAATAATTTCTCATTTTTTTTCAGTTGCATTACCATAAAGGTGAATGATAAAATTTGAGGTCCAATCGAGTGTGTTGATTAGTACCGGCTACTTCTTGACTACATGAGGGAGACGGTTTCATGTTCTTGTCGGTCTTTTCTGTGTCTCGTAAAATAGTAGCAAGGGGAGTTGGTTGATGATCGGGTAAAGCAGGCGTTGGTACCGTGGACAGTTCGCTTGTGCGTTGCTTCTGTTCCTCTTCAGAGTAAATACTTAATGAGCGTGGTCGGTCTGGTTTCAACTGCATAGCAGTAGGTGTCCTTGATTGTTCACTGAAAAAATAACTTTCCATAAAATTGTAGTGAAAATTTAGTAAGGCTTAATGACATGCATTTCAGGATTATAATTCCTTGTCACGTTCAGTTATGTGCTAATTACTATGATTCCCTGGAGTCTTAATAGCTGTACTATGATTTTCCCATAACAGAATGGAAATACGAAAATTGTGTTTCTATTAATCAATGAAATAATTATGAAAATATAATACTCTAGTTTTTATTTTGAAGCTGTACAATTCAAATACATAGTGAAATGCTTCAAATTTTATTTATTCGTGCTTTTTATATTTTATTTTTTATCTTAGATCTTTATAATCACGAGATAAGATAATGCAATGCATTCGTGACATTGTAATAGAGAATACCTATATCATGCAGGGATCACAGCTGTTGCAGGTGATGTGCAAGAAATTACTTACTCTGCAAATAAAAGTGAAAGGAACATGTTGCCAGTGTGCAGAGGATTTTGGGGATATTGAACTTGTTTTCATAGGAGTGGAATTGCTTAATATCTGTCAACGAAAAAGAAGTAAACGTGAATTCATGCTAAGCTTTCAATGAAACTCTTTTAATAATATGTACCGGTGCAAGTGATGATTTAAAACAATAGTATACATATCACAATAAATAAATACAGCATACATACATCATACATACATACATGCGCAAATTAACTTAATAAAAAATATGATTTCAATAAACCGAGTATTTGTGCGTTAAAAAAGTGGCGCTGGAACAAAGCATCCATTGAATGACGTTTGCTTTTTGAAGTTATTCTTTTAAGAATCATACCCTTTATAGCATTTTCTATCTATACCATAAGTTTGTCATAGTATAAGAAAATTCAGTATGCTACGTTTAGTTAATTAAATTATCCCTATGAACTACAGTTAACATTTACAATACTTTCGTTTACAATGAATGCTACAAAGAGTTCTCCGTTTCTTATTTACAATTTGTCAACTATCGTGTCAACAGTATCATTACACAGTCACTGTACAATGGAGTTATAGCATTTTTAAGAACAATATAAAATCATGATTATGTGACAGACGCAAATCCACTTTTTTTTTATATCTAGGTATCTAAATAAATATTAAAATAAGGAGGGTTCATCGTCGAGATCCTACCCGACAATATAAAATATTTTTTACATTACCATTTTACAACAATGTAATGTTATTCGACTTGAATGACCTCGAGCAACATTCGAGATATTAAATGAAAGTAAAGGTCGGGAAACACGCGTTTAAACGTGTGCTGGCAAGAGGTAACGTGGACACATTCGGTGTATAAATAGTGAAAGCCATTTTTGCCGTGTGTTATTGTGTTATTCATTTTCTCTTAACCCTTTAACGGCCAGATGAAATGTTTTGAAGTCTCAATAAATGGTTACCTCACTAACAAGTTAAAATTTCTGATACTTTTCGATTAAGTGTTTCCATCGGCTATTGCACATTCTAGTTATCGATGGTGCAACTACAAAGTTTAAATAGTTATTTCCCTAAGATGACTTATCTGGCCATCGAAGGATTAATTAAAGCTTCGACGTCAGATGTCTGCGAGAGGATCGCCTCTCTAAGGTACGAACATAGAAATTCACAACTAATTTATTTAAGCAGCTTGCAGGGATCGTTGAACGATCTGGATGACTATCTTTCGATTTTACTCACTCGGTACGTTCGACTGATGGACCAAGCACAGCAGTGTTATGGATTATCTAGAAGAAAGCGTTAATGAGTCCTTAGTTGCGTTTCACTGTATCATTAAGAATATAAATGCGACTAAGTAAAAGTGACTAATGTTATAAAGATATTTAACAATGCTTTTTTAAGCAGTGTACTTTAATGAAAAAATGTCCAACTTGGCATAGTTTAGTACTTCTACTATCTCATTTATAAGAAGCTTAAATATGAGTTATGATAAAACGATTAAGTGTAGTTCTTGTACTTACATTTGCCATGGAACAAGGAGGCCGTGCTGCGGCGTATCTGCCGATCGAATTACGCGCAACAAATGCAGGATACTGAACGCCGTTCATTCTAGAAAATAGAGAATATAATTCGTGTCTTTTTTCTTTTTCTTCTTCCTTCGAGGTTTCATCCACTTGACGTGGCTCATAAATGTGTACGTAACTCGTACAGCAATTGATAATACAAGAGTAAGAAGCTAGTTGCAATGCTCAGTTAATATCAACAATGGAGTACAAGAATGTTGTTACAATGTCGATACATTTGCAGTATTGTAAAGCAATTATGACTTTAAAGTACGTATTAGTAACACATATTACACGAGTTACACGTATACTTTGCAGCGTCGCGTATATAGAATTTCCAATTCTATTGTTAGCATACCATACATACCCAGAATTACTTTTTCCGTTATTGTTATTATGAATGTTATTTGATCCACCGATATCGTTTGTCGTTTTAGCAGGTAAGCTATATCTATTTGACCTGACATCCTGGCGCTCTGCAAAATATGAAGTGAACACGTCACCAATTGTTAATAAACAATTTCAGCGGTACAAATTTTACGATCTTTGGCGACGGAATATTTTTGTGTAATTTTTAACCACGTTTAAAAACGATCAATTTTCAAATGAGAGCAGCTGATTTATAATCGTCACAAGCACCGTGACAGGGAGTGTATTGTTCGAGGAGAGTTTCAAATCGATCAAAGGAATCGCATAATAGGGCCATTAATCGTGTATAGGATGGCATTGACCGCGATTTCGTACCTCTTCAGGTATGAATTACCGATTTAGGGCACGAGGTAGCGAAGGACAAGATTGTGAGACGACCTTCGTTTCACCATTCTTGTATCTTTAACTTGAAACCAGATCCTTGAATGGATTCATGGATAAGCCTTGCACTTTTGCGGACGCGCCTTCGTGACGGAGAGAACGGGTTGCTTGAAATTGGTAAACCTCTTATACAGATAGGAGCTTCGAGTAACAAATAAAAGATGAAAATTCCAGACTAAATTATACAAAGAAATGAAAATTTACGCTTCCTCGGTTACATTTCCTTTGACTGCGTATCCTACGATAGTAAACACCACTTACTTTCGACGAACACAAACTTTTCACATTTTTTGTTATCTAAATATTGTACTGTTGCACGGCACGATACGTCCCCTTCGTTAATTGCGTGTTTACTTAAAATAAAAGCGTAAAGGTCGGGAGTATAACCGGTGTCTGAATAGTTTCGTGACCGACTGTGCGAGATTCGTGTTGGCAAAATGCAGAAGTGCGTACCATCGTCGAAGAATCCTTCGAAGACGACAAATTTATTATTCTGCGGGATTATTTTCGAGAGGCCGTAGTACTTGTCCAGGAAGGCTAAGAATTTCCCCGAAGGTCGATCGATCGCCAGCTTCCATGGCCTAATGTTCTCCTCCTGAAAATTGAAAGCAACATTAAATCGTTACCGAACGTGCAATCAAATTTCACGAACGGAAGATGAATCAATGTTACCGCGAATGATACGACGAAAATGGTACTTGGAATCGCATTAAATTTATCGGCACAACATGTAAGTTGAGTTTTCTCAAATGTATAATTCTATTTAGTACTTAACTTGTTATTTTATCGTGAAATAATACAAGTGAACGCGCCAGGTCGAAACACACAGTTTGAACGAGTTCAGTCACCTTTTGGATTACCTTCGACCGTAACGCCCACGCATAACGACCTTTTGTCACGCTCCTATTTAAGATCATTCGCTAATTTGCCACCGTAGGCCTGGCCGCTATTCT